AGAAGGGAAAAGGGGCTGATGCATCAGTACTTTCTACAGAACCCCAAAGGGTCAGAAGGCCTGGGCTTGGAGGAAGAGAAAAAAATGAGAGCAAACCTCCAATAGATGCTGGTGCTGAGCTTGGCAGCTGCCTTGGAGCAAAAATAAACTCCCCATGGCAGTGGGACAAGAAGCTGATATTGGCACCTGCTGGAGGCTGGCAGCCCAGGTCGCAGCTGCGCTGGTCAAATGAATCCCGAGACCCGAGGGGCCGAGTCTTCGGTGGTTGGCGGCAAGCTCTCCTCTCCACAGGCAGCTGATTGAAGCCGGGTTTGTGTGCCTTCCCCACCCCCAGGGCTGGGTCTCAGAACAATCAGAGGTGCAGGTGGTGCTGAATGAGCCCGTGCTGCCTTCGGAAGGAGGAGCTCATCCGAGGGATGTTGGCGACAAGACAATCCCCAGACTCCAGAGACGGCTCAGGGCAGAGTGTGAGGGAGCAATTTCCCTCCTGGGGACCAAGCAGCTTCTTCAGCTCATCTGGCAACTAGGACAGACTTTGCTTCTTCCAAATGTCGGGGTTAGAGGTTCAAGAATGAATTTGGTCAGGTCTGAATTTCCTTGGGTAGGGTGAAAAATTCCTGGGGAGGGACCCCGTGAGGTACTTAACTGGAAAAGAAGAGTGAAGCTGAAGGACTCCATAACCCAGATGGTAGAGAATGGAATCGCTCCATTTCCTCTGGGATGGGCAGTCATGCTACTTGCGTCTCAGGATGGAGGCTGTGGCAAAGGCCCGAGATGAAAAGCCTCTGCTGTGAGAATAGATTCAGGAGTCTCATCGTCATGAATTCCCCACAAAAGACTTAAAAGAAAGGGTGTCTTGGAAGCAAATCTGTGTCAAAGCCGATAGGCATCCTACCTGAGAAAACAGATTCTCGCTCATCTAACCATCAAACCCAGCTGTTTTACTGTCATTGTTGTGGCCATCTGTTGATTGATGCTCAGGGGTTACTCCTGGTTTTATTTTAGGGGTCACTCCCAGTGGTGCTTGGGGAATCTCTACACACAAAGCATGCGCACTAGCCTTCTGAGTGATCTCTCTAGCTCCCCCTCATTGAATCATTTCAGGATTTTTACAAAGAGACCCCTGCCTCTCTTACCCAGACATCGGCTCTGGACCACTTCCTGCAAAGGCATTCCCATCTGGTTCAAGGTTATGGGCTGCTAAGACATGGTTTCCATATGCATCACTAAGGAACTTGCTGGATTATGTGGTCCAGTCACCTGATGTCTGTGACCCCTTTGGGCACTGAAATTGAGTCATCTCTCCAAACTCCTGGAACTCAGGGTGACCATTTCTGCTGCCATCCCTATGGCCCGGCAATCACTAATTCCCTCCCATCGATTGTACTTGCTTTCCCATCTTTCTTGCCAAGCTGGATCACAGCTGAACTCATTTGCTTTATCGAGGGGCATCCACAACAGAATCACGGGGGTCTGAATCCAGGGGATGGTGAGCAGAGAAGGAAAAGAATTAGAAAACGTGACTTCACTGACGCAGCCCTTTTTTGGCCCACAGTTTATTGACTCAGTAAGTTGTACATGTCTGACTACACGAATGAAAACTTATTTTCCAAGAGACAGCTCCTCTGTGGCCATTACTTGCTAAATAGTAACAACAAAAAGTCATGGATGCTGGAATCTAAGAAAAGAACTGGCTGATTACATAAACTCCCACCGCTCGTACATCTCTCTTTTTTTTTTTTTCCCCAAGCACTTTACAGCAACTTGAAAATGCGTCGTCGGCAGTCCCGCCATCTCTGTGCAGCAGATGGGGTGCTGGGGAGTGTCTCATTTCGATTTCAAAGAGGCAGGTGGGGAATGGGATGCAGCTGGGGAAGACTGGACCATACTCAGAACCTTTGCACAAGGAGCTCAAATGCAGACCAAAAGTCCCGGCAGAACCAAGCCATCTGATGGGCTACAAAACACGGCTTCCTCCACGCCTGCCCGGTGGGTAAAGAATTAACAAAACAATTCCTTGGAAAACAGACATCTTATTTGGGATTTAGTCTGCTTGAAAAATAACCTGTTATTTTATATTGTATAACCTATCAATTATAACCGATGTTATATTTGCAACTTACACCTTTTTTTCCCCCCTACTAGAAACTTGAAAAGCAGCTAGCTATGAAACTCAGGGGATATTTCGAGTTGCCTCTCATAATTGTGCCCTTCTTCCTTTGTGTGCTCCATTAAAAGGAGTCTCAAACACAAACTGGTTAAAGATATTTGACATCAAAGTGGAATGCATATGCTTCTAATCCATTTAATAAGATTGCACATTGTTCCCCTCCAGGATGAGCAGAGCATGGGTAGGTTTGATTTGGGAATCACATCTCCATGGAGATCAATTACTGTTTTGGTTTGGTCCAAATCGATGCCAGTGAGACACTCGCTGCAAGAGTCCAAGCCTCGGCAGTGTTGCCTTATAGGAATTTTAAAAAATTTTGGGCCACACCTAGCAGAGCCCGGCAAGGTACCGAGAGTACCCGCCTGCATGGCAGAGTCTGGAAAGCTCCCCGTGACGTATTCGATATGCCAAACACAGTAACAATTGTCACAATGGAGATGTTACTGGGCCCGCTCGAGCAAATCGATGAATAATGGGAAGACAGTGACAGTGGCCTAGCAGTGCTCAGGACTTACAGCTGGATCTATACTCAGGAATTGCTTCTGGCAGGCTCAAGGGACCATACGTGTGCCAAAGATTGAACCTGGGTCAGCACATGCAAAGCAAGTGCCTTAGTTGCTGTCCTATCTCTCTGCCCCCTCAGGTACACTTGATGCAGGACCAAGAATAGCATGTTATGATATTTTGCTTTCACCAAGGACAGAACAAGTTAGAGAGGTCAAAAATTTAAGTCACTTGTTGCATCTAGTTTTGGGGCAAGCAATGGTGTTCCTGGACCTACAGCATTTAATAGCTAGTGGCAGAGACACTGGCTGATATAGTTTTGTACAAATCTCTCGAACATGCTGTCACAAACATCCATCCCCCTGTTTATTTAATCAGCAAGTGATTTTCAAGTTGAGGATTTGGAAGCTCTAATGCATATGCTTCTAGATCTGAAGAAAAACGAGCTTGGTGACAGATGAGGCTCTTCAAAATTTAATTTATGAGGCGCATACCCACACGCTCATCTATGAAAATTCCTCTTGTTAGCTGCGATAACTCCTGATTCCTCTGTGGTCATCTGAAGCTAATTAGCCCTGCTGCCGAACGCATAAGGGATCGATAGCTTTCACAGTAGATCACACAGAAGGAGACCCGTGCACAGCTCGTCCATGTAGGTACACAGAGATACCTTAATTAAAACAAACCACGCTCAGGAAGAGATAGGTTTTCATAGATGACTGGAATGCCGAACATTTTTTTTTGACACTTTAATGTGTTTATTCAAAGTAAGAGTCTTTATGAAACCTTCCACTAATCAAATTGGTTTGATGCATTTCCCTTGAAAACATTTTAAAGTGAAAAAAGTCAGTGCTTAGTAGTATACATTTATGTTTATTAACATTTGGGTATAAATGTACTTCAAACACTGAGAGAGCTAAAAGACTATGCCTTTATCTTGAATAGATTTTTTCCCCCATCCCAGGAATCTGATTAACTCGTACAAGGCTAACATCAGCGGGCAAAGAGGATCACAATGAAAGGGGCATCCCCCCGACACACACACCCCTCACTGCTGTGGGCACATGCCACGCCCTCTACTCGCCACTGAGGCTGGGTCCACAAGTCCACGCTCACGCTCAGGTGACAACGTGGTGCCTCCTGCTCCATCTTCTTCCATTCAGAATCGAGCCTTTCCAGCCGGACTTCTGAAGTGCACTTGAGGGTGAACTGGCTTCAGGAAGAGGCTGGCCAGTGACATGTGGTTCACGAGCTCCAGGCCTGGTATCCAGAGTTCTTCTCTGGGGTGTTTGTGCCAACCAACTCCTCTCACACCTCTCGGAGTCCCCCCGTTATCATGGTATGCACAGTTTCTTTCCTTTTTCACAAGTTCAGTCTCAGTCACTCAGGAAGGTGACGGGCGCACGAGGCCTGATGACCCACAGACCAAGCCGCTCCCTGTCATGGCCAGGCCATCCCAGCTAGATGGAAGTCAGAACTCGGGGAAACTGCCGTGTCCCCCCCGATATGGGTCTGCTTCAGAACGGAGGGCAGTGGGTGCCACCCAGTGCCCTTCAGAGCTGCCTTGTCGGATCACATAAAAATCCCGGCGCTGGTTCTGCCCATGGGCAAGCAGGCCATCGAACAAGGCAGAACGCTGACAAGGGGACGCGTCTCCAAGCAGGGCTGCAGGCTGGCATTTCAGAGATGATGAAGGAGCCTGCGTGACTGCTCTATTTTCCTCCTGCCTGTCCACAGAGGCAGAGTTTTCTGCTAAAGCATGAGGCTCCTCGCAGTCTGCGTTTAGAAAGCTGGAGTCACGAAGTTGAAATAGGAGCTAACACTACTTAGGAGAGGAAAACAAGCTCCACGGAGATTGTCTTAAACCATTAGTTCAAGAAGAAAAAAAAATAACGAAGACAGCATCCTTACTTTGGAAATACAGAAAGCCAAATAACTAAAATCATGGAGCAAACTTTTTTTTTTCTACCTAGAACCCCGTGAGTGGAAAGTGTATTGAAGCAAAACCTCAGCTATAGTTGACTTCTTCATTTCAAGGGCTTCTCACTCCATAAGGCTGAGGGGATGGAGAGTGGGGGCCCCCTCCCAGGGTCCTCACCCCCTCTGCTGACTAAGACAGAAACTACATGGGGATGGGTTGGGTGTTTTTGGTAGGAGAGCACAAAGCTTCTCACCACTCACGAACATTAGCATAGAGAGGGCCAGGATGCTTGGGCATGTGCCTATGTTCGGGATGAGAATCTTCATCTTGTGATAGGGAAGCCTGCCGTCCCTCTAGGGCTGCAGAAACGAAAGCGACTCCCTGTGAAAGCTGTGGAAAATGCTTTCGAAATCCTACCTCCTCTGCCTGCTAGTAGTCTGAGTTCATGCTTAAAATCCTCCCCCTCCTCCTCATCCTCATCAAAAACATGGTCCCGTTTGCTTCACAGCTAAATTAATAGACTGTCCCCTTTTAACTCAGCCTGCCCCAAAGCGATTCGAGTTTGGAATGTAGCGGCACTGAGTATCCTGTAGAAACCCCAAGGATCACAAAGAAGCTTTCTCGAAAGGAAAAAATGAAAAGAAAGAAAAGAAAAGGGAAAAAAAAAGTTTCAGTCAGATAAAAGTGTTTGAGCAGTGTCTCAACTGAGCTCCTAAAACTGGAATTTCAGATATACAAGAGGACAGGAAACATCATTTGTGTGGGGGGCGTGGGTTTTTTTTTTTTTTTGTCTTTTGTCTTTTTACATGTCCATATTGTTTTCGTTCGATGCAGCTACGATGTTTCAGCCAAAGATAAAGATAAGAGGGTGGACAGGGCAGTGACCACCAGGACCAGCAATGGGCCCAGAGTGCAGCGTGGAGGGGCGGCCATTGATTTTGTGGTTATGTGGCTGGAAGCCCCAGCAAGACCGTTCTTTTCAAACTCCCGCTGAAAGAAAGAAGGTTTTCATTATCATTCACTGTGTGCACTCATTACAGCAGTTAGTGTTTAACCACACTCCCTGGTGTTCCCATTCGCACCTCCAGATCGCTCCATAACTCCCAAAGCTAACCCAAGATTTTTTACCACTGAGATTTCAACTCACTGACTGGTGGTTTCACGGGAGACTGAATCTAATGAGAACTATGCAGTTCTGTCCCCTACCCTCATATTTTTTGTTCCTCCATGATGGATCATTAAAATCCATCTGGAGGACTGATTTCAGCTCAGGGGGCCTGGTCATTCTTCACCCCAGTTCCCAGGTCCCTCGAGAGTTGTGCTAAATGGAAGGAATCCTTCTTGTGGGCATCCCCAATCAAGGGAGGACACTGGCTCCACACTGGAAGAATCCTTTCAGGAAAACTGCCCAGGTCATTTCTTATTCATGCATGTGAGGGGTCACATGGTATCCCCTGAGACAGGAAGCACAGGCAAGAGCCTCTGGCCAGCAGCCAGTCAACTCAGGATTTTATCTGCTTTGTTTTGTTTGGGGGCCACACCTGCTGTTCAGGGCTGACTCCTGGCTCTGTGCTCAAAGATTTACTTCTGGTGAGCTTGGGGAACCATTTGGGGTTCTGAGGATCAAACTCTGGTCGGTTACATGCAAGGCAAGCGCCCTACCTACTGTTCTATGGCTCCAGCCTCTCCACTCCTCAACTCTAGATTTTAGAATTGACAGAGCCTGCCCTGCTGGTGGGTCTGCAAGCCTACAGCTGTCCTTGTGGGACTCAGGCCACACCCCACCATAAGGAGCCAGGATCACCCGGGGTACAATCATCCAGTTCCTACCCTGAAAGTTGGGGTGAGGACTACCCTACTCTGGTCTGCTGTGGAGCCTGGAAACATGAGCACTATCCGACTCTGATGAACAAAGCATGGCCCCACCTTCTCCATGACCGATAGTTTTTCATGAATGGGGTCATTCTCAGACATTGGAAGGTGTTCATGCCATTGTCAACTCCCAGAAGAGGCTCCTGGATCCCACACTTAGCTCTGACCTGGTGTCCTAAGATCTGCTGCTGCCCCTTGCCTTGCCCGAGACAGAGGGATGGGATGGAGGGTGGAGCTGGGGAGGCCTTCCATGTTTCCTCTGGACCTGAGACATCCTCTCTCTGAGCTCTGTACATGACATTCCACCCCACAAACACAAGGTACTGCCTATAGAAATGAATGCAGAAAGACCCAGGAGGAAACATAACTTACATCAGCAAGGCAGAGCTGGGGGTTGCCCGATATGTTGGATTTCAGCTTCTGTGCCTGAAGAAAGACAAAACACAAAATCACTCAGGGAAGAGGCATGAGACACATGAGCCACCAACCAAGGGTCCAGGGAAGGGCGATTGTCAGGAACCTGTGAGTCTTAAACTCTGAGTCCAGGGACCAATTAGAAACTAGTTTTGATGAAGTATTTTATCCATTGTGGTGGTGATATGTTACTGTTTCAACACGTGACTTCAACATTTGCCATCTGATAATGCATGTCTCCATTTAGACCACCCCATTTCAGAGACTCGACAGTTCGTTACGTGGCTGGTCAGTACACCACTGGACGTGGCTACTTAAGAAAATATATTGTGTTCATCTATCTTTTAAATTCATTTCTATTTCTAAGTGCTGACCTGGGGGGAGGTGTCTTGAAAGTGAGAGTGGCTACAATCCAACTTCCCACTGGGGCTCAAGGGGAGGAGCCCACTAGACTTGCATGTGTGAAACCCTATATTCCATCTCAGGCATATGCACACACATGCATACGAACACACACACATTCTTATTTATCAGTGGGGGCAATTTGGGGGTTGAGACATGGGGCAGGGTCTTTTTCAGATGGGAATCAAGCAGGCTGGACATATTCCCCATCCAGCAATTAAAAATAATTTTTTTATTGAATCATCATGAGATACACCATTACAAAGCTGTTCATGATTGAGTTTCAGTCAAACACTGTTCCAACAACCATCCCTCCACCACGGTACATTTCCGATCACCAATCTCTCCAGTTTACTTTCCATCATCCCCCAACCTCCCGCCCCCACACTTGCCTCTATGGCAGCCACTTCTCTCTCTCTCTCTCTCTCTTTCTCTTTCTCTCTCTCTTTCTCTCTCTCTCACCCTCTCTCTATTTCTCCTTTTTTAACACTGTGTCTGGGGCAGATGTGAGGGTCCTGAGATACTAAGACTCCAGAAGTGCCCTCTCACCAGCACCTAAAATGAGGCCCTACTCCACCAAACTTTTGACCTGAGAAAATTACTTAATAAAACATTCCATCTCTCAAAGAACAAGCACGGAAACTGCTCATGCTGTGCTGTCCTCATTCAATAAAGAAAAGCAACTCAAGTGCAGAATGTAAGTGATGTAGTTAAGGCCACACAGCCCTTTGCTCGGAGTCAGGGGGACAGAGCAGGTCTTGAAAGCCTGGGATGACAAGATGCTCTTTCTAGCCTTCCAACACTTCTCCCAAGGTGATCCTGGCATGCTTGATACCTCGTGTCCCACTGAACCCCCCAATCCACAATAAGAATCCTGTTCATGATACCCCCAAGCCTCCAGGCAGGAGTTTGGTGGCTCTGAAAGACAAGAGCACTCAAGTGGCCAGAACAGGAGCCAAGGCCCCCAGGAAGCCCTCTCTGTGCTACAAGGCACAGGCTGCCCTGCTGGAGAAAGATTCTGAGACTCACTGAAAACATACCAGGTGGATGCAGTAGCACATGTACCCAAGGAGCCACTCACTGGCCAGAATGCCAGCTGTGGGAGGGAGCCGGCACAATCATTCCCTCTATTTGCATATGCCAGCTGTGAAGATGAACTAGAAACCTTTCAACAGGCATCCCAGTAATCAGCACCATGCACCCCTGGGCTGCTCAAAGGTCACAAAATGTTATGGGGATGAGGCTCAGAGGGGGACGGTGAGAGGAGTGGAGCCTGACCAGAAAGCCTCCTATTAGCCTATATGAATAGCATCCTGGCCCACTGTATAGCTACCGACAGAGAAGAATGTGTAGAACTTGACAGGTTTTATTTCTGTTCAGGCCTGGAATTGTGCCCAGACACCTAAATGGCCCCAAAACATCACCTCCTGTCTTGTCCTTTCTAGGCCATCTCCTCCAAAACACGCAAACCCTTGTCAGGCCTCCTTGTCCCTAAGAGCCACTGAAAAGTGCCGAGATGCACCTGAACTTCCTGTTAGGAACACAGTCCTGACTTCCTGCCACTGCTCTGCTTCAGGTCATGGGAAAGATTCACTGTGGTTCTGGGCGTGTCTGGCCCAGAAGGCTGAGAGGGCTATTCCTGTCTTGTCCCACTGGCACTGGTTGGCACACTTTCCCCATGACACTCACAAGTTGCAATGTTTGCTTCCTAGCATGTCTGACACCGGTGTGCATTACCTGCTACCCAGCATTAGAAAATGAATCTTTGTATAGGCCTCCCCCAGTGGACTAGAAAACACTATTCTCTTAGTGCTCAGGAGGCCTCATGGTGGTAGTGGAGTCTTGGCCAATGGGGTGAAGTGCTCAATGTCAAGGCCCAAGGATTGAGGGCAGCTATGGTGTCCAGATACCTGGGTCACTCTGGAGGTGCTGGGGACCTTCAGAGCCACAGCTGGCTGTGCTTGAGGGCCTCCAAGATTGCACCCAGCAATGATACTGGAGACCAGGGCTTGTAAGAGCATGAAGTGGGTTGGCCGGATACATGGCACACACTTTAACTGCTGTAGTAGCACAGTTCTTAAGTGGACTGTGGCCCTCTGGAGGAGGCAACTGACCCTTGGCAGTTACTGAGAGCTCAGTATGCTCAGGGTTGTGAGCGTACAACCAGGCACACACGCAACTTTAACTTCCACCAAAGAACGACCTCCTGGGAGTGGCTGGAATCCTCTTTCCAATCACTGTGCAAAATGCATCTAACCAGTTCCAAGTCTATGAAGCCTCTGGACTCCTCTTTCCCGCCGATACCTTGCTGGCGACTCTCTAAAGACAATGGCCATAGTTTATGTGGCCCAGTCATCTGTTCTTGGACACCTGGCAGTGTCTATGGTGGAGGGAAGCGTTCAACCAGGAGGAGGAGGGGGTGCTGAAAGGTGGTAAGGTGTCATGCATTAAACTGCATATTTAAAAAAGTTCTCATAGAGGCAGACTGGTAAGTGGGCGGCAAATGGAGGGGAGTGGGAGGAAGTGGGCACTGGTGAGGGAATCCATGTTTAAACATTGTATGCATGAAACCCCATCATGAATAACTTTAAAATTTCACAGACTAAATTAAAAGGGGGAGGGGAGATGGTAATGCCCACTGTCTGCCCTTCCCTGCCTGAGGAGCTCACCCAGGCCTTCACTGAAGTCGGAAGCAGCTACCTAAGCTCCTCTTGCCTTCCAGGATAGGCTGGTGGGTTTAAAGCATCAGCTACAGAGCAAAAGTAGCACCGCCAAAGCAGACTCCTACAAAGGCACCAAGAAAATGCTTCCTTTCCCGTTCCCTGTCTGCCAAAGCCACGGGAGCACGCGGCGCTCTGAGGCTTAGCAGTCCGAGCACACAGGTAGGTTTCCACACTGTGCCTGCCTGAAGTATTAATTCAGCCTCCTCTTCAGGGAGGCTGGGGACTATGGGAAGTCCCCAGGACTGCAAACGAAAGGCAGAGAGGACCCAGAATTCCACCCGAGCCTAGAAAAACACCGTCAGAGCTGATTAGAAGGCCAAGGGCAAGTGTTCCCATAATTGGAATGGCAAATAGAGTAACAGAATCCAAGAACTTACAAAAACGAGAGCTCTTGAAATCCCCTGCAAACCAGTGGCATTTACTATGGATGGAGTCAACTATAGGCGGTTGCACTGGCTGTCCAGGACCTGGGAGGGTCTCCAAGCTGTCAGCAAACGGGTGTGGTCAGGAATTGGAGCCTGGGTCTGATTAGCTGCTTTTATGCTGATAAATGCTGTATGTCTTGTCTGAACCCCCTCCAGGGACCTCTGCACAGCCGACCCTTCGCTTAATCCAGTGCACTAAGAACATCTGGTTCTTCCAGCCCATTTCAGAACCTGAGCAGCCTGTTATTTCCACATTTTTAAAGGCTTTTAGTCTGAGCATTTAAAAAAATACATCAAGCAGTTATCAATGTCTTGCTAGTCAGGTATGATAAATGCAAACAGATGAAATTACAGGGCGTCTCTACTTTCAATTACTGCAAAGAGGAATGCAGGCTGGAAGTGTTGTTCCAGGTGATGAAACTTGGGGGAACAGGGAAGAGGAGGGTGATTCTGAGATCTTGCAAGGTGTACGAGACACTGCGAGAGAACCTTTAAACTGCTAAAACCCGGGAAACAGTGCTGTTAGAGCTGGCACCGGATAGGAAACCAGATTGATTAGCCTGACATGCACAGAATATAACCAGGCTGGACCATATAGAAACCCAAGGAAAACAGGAGAGGAGAAACCAATCTGATTTTCCTAAAAGCGCATTTTGAACACCTTTACAACCAACTGAGAAATAAAGGACTTTTGTGAAAGAAACTTGTATATAGCTAATTAGGAAAACCTAGCTGACTTTTCACTGCTTGGGTAGTAAGAAGTCACAAACACAGTTCCCAGAGGTTTTCATCTTGAGAATAGGGGGAGAAGGTGAGGGGATGCCTGTCGCTCAGTCTGGACCCTTGCTGTCATTCTAGAAAACCAGGGGACCCGTGCTTGGGCCACTTCATCCACTTCATTAGCCTTGTCCCTCCAGCAGCTGTTACAAAATCGTCACTGGCGGCAATTGGCAAGTCCAGGCACGCTGGATAATAGAATTTCCAGGGCACTGTCTTTTTTGCAGGGCCAGACCTCGCCAGTCCCTGGCACCAGAGGGTTAATGAATGCATTAGATGCTGTTAACCTCCTTTACCTGGAGTCAGGATGAGGACTCTCTTGCTTCACTCCCCAGTGATTAGCATTTGGAGAGCCCACGGCTGACTTGGACACAGGCGCACACACCATTTACAGCTCACAGTGGAGCCCAATCACCTGCCACTGCGCACACGCAGGAGAGTCCTGTCCACGGCAGGGGCTCAGGAGCCTGGGAACTGGGCACGTACACTATGTCAATGAACTTGGACAACTTGGAAGTCCAGCCTCTACTGCACCGGGACTCACTTTCTGTTGAGAAGTGAGTGTTTCATCTTAGGTTTTTAGGCAGCTGTCAGCCAGCAGGGCATGGAACATTTCTCTACTCTTCTTCCTGCAGAAGAAATGCCGGTTTCTGCTCTACCTCCAGAAAATTAAACCAGAGGAAGC